TTCTTAGAACTAATGTAAGCAAGGTCTGCACTGCTCTTTAGACTGTATGATGAGTTAGATTGGTTGGAACAAGGTAAACAAAATTCTAGAAAAGACATAAGAAGAAGAAATAGAATGTAAGCGATACCAATCTCCCCACCCTCCTGAACCACGACCCATACCTTATGTTTATATAGGGAATCATGTAACTGTGCCGTGACTGTTTCCAAAAGTTCAACCTTGAATTTTAGCATAAAGAGCTAAACGAGATGGTAGTTCTCTCTTGTTTCCAACTTTGTGCAATGAGGCATCTTGCCACTGTAACGATATGTCTTAGTAATTCCTAAGCAGTTTTGGAAAGAGCTGGGGTAGAGAAGCCTAAGAAATATTTTAGGAGTGGGTATACACCTTTTAATGCAAAAGGACCCTCTAAGACACAGGTATCAAACTGGCGGTCCTCTAGCTGTTGCCAAACTACAAGTCCCATGAGACATTGCAAGATTGACAGTTACAAGTATGACTTCCAAAGCCAGAGGCATGATGGGACTTGTAGTTTTGCAACAGCCAGAGGGCCACCAGGCCACCTGCTCTAAGAAATACATTATACATATTTGTCACATTTCCCAGATTTGCCAAGACAGGTCCACTTTTTGAGCTAATTGTCCCACTATAACTCTGTCCCACATTTACAGCATGAGGCAGCACAATTAACTGAAGCATCAACTTCAGAACATAGTACCACACTGGGCACTCCCTGTATTCGTTCCGAACAGTTCTCATCTTTAGAATAAAGGGCACTTGTTTGGTTCGAGGCTAGTGAGTTTTCTAGGGTGGAGCTGTCTGTAATGAAATGATGTTTTAGGCTCCACTCACACTTGTATGACTCAAAAGTTGTGTGACTTTGGATTGCAACTTTGATGCAACTCTGGTGCAATTTTGAATGGGTGTGACTTGGATATAACTTGTCCCTCTGTAAAGTTGGACCCACTATTGCACCACTGTTTTATGTACTGTAAAACATTAAGGCATTACTTTCATTCAACTTTTGAGGGCTAACATTGAAGTCTATGGCCCTCAAGTAGCATGAAAGTCGGAACAAAGTAGTGCATTAACTACTTTGAAGTCGCTGTAACTTTAAGTCACACATATATGAATGGCTATCATTGGAAAAACATAGGGTACAGCTGGTCATGTGACTTTGATGTCCAAAGTCGCATCACAAGCCGCTCAAGTGTGAATGGGGTCTTAGAGATTTTACAGCTGGCAGCTATAGCAGTTTGCATAGAAAGTAAGATAAGTATTTTGTTTCCTGTGCCACATTTACATCCAGCAAAAGATAGGTTTCCCCCCTTGTTCAATGTCTACTAGCTGTTTCCAGCTAACTGGGTAAAAACATGGAGATACAAAATCTGTATTATATTGCTATCCACAAATGCATTGCTAGAACTTATCACTGACAGGGGAAGCAGCATTGTACAAGCTTCTTCAGGTAGCACTTATCATTGGCATGCTCCTGGGTAAAATATAGAAACTTCTGATGTAAAATTGCTGCTTGCTGTCAAAACGAGCATACCTGCAGTCATGTTTTTTATATATACACTGTGGATTAATTTAAAATACGATTGTATACATTAGCTTGTATTGGATTGCATGGTGCCACTGAATTGGCAGACCCAATTGGCTGCTGTATAAGGCTGAAGGCATATTTTACATATATATTAATCCAATCAGTCGTGATACTGGTATATTTTTAATGTTCCCCCGTCAATCTGCAATTAGAATCAATAGGTACTATAAACACATTGATGCCTCCAGTGGACACTTCAGGCCTCCATAAAAGAAGTGGACACTTTAGGTGTCTTTTAATTAAGTGGTTATTTTGACGGTTACCATATATGTAAGTTGATTTCCACCAGGGTGGATTTGATTTAAATCAAACTGATTTAAATCACGATTTAAATCACTAGTCAGTAAGGCTTGATTTAAATCCTAGTTTTCTACATAAAGACTAATTCTTGCTGGTATAACTTTAATATGCAAGTAGATGAAGATTTTTAGAATAACAACTTTTCATATTAGTTTTTTTATCCCCAGTTTAATAGGTTAATCATTCATATTTGGACAACTTTTCTGTTGTACTTAGGAAGGAGAAAAATAATCATTACATTAATAATAACAATTTAAATAGATTTATTCAACTGAAACAACAACATTCCAGCATATGTTATTTGCTTAAACAAACATCCATGTTTGTTAACTAATTTGGCTAAACAAAATATATATATTTTAAGAAACTTAGACTGTCAGCCCCTTCCTCCTCACACTTCGTTTCACTTTCTTCTTGTGCAGATCTATTCCACTCCAAACAATCAGAAAAATATTGTTTCTATTCTATTCACTGAACTTCTTGAAACTTAGCACTGAGGGGGTTGATTCTGTATTCATAGGTTTGTAGAAGTTAGGATTAAGGTCTTTTTCTTAACTCTGTTCATGTTATAACATTTTTGCTGTGAAGAGGCATGTGATCTCCGCTGAGTCAAATTCAGTTTTGGGAACTGAAAAAGTAAACCAAGCATCTGTGATAATATCTTGTAGGCAGAGAAACTGCCCAATAATCTTACAAAAACCTCCGGAAGAGCATGGCACTGTGAATGGATTAATGGAATTTATTTACCAAAAAAATTAAACATATACAGCCTTATTCTACATAATTAAAAAACTAATCTTTATTTCATGATGGAATAACCTTTGGATGATAATATATTTTCCTCAAAAAGCATTTTATTTAAAAAAAAATCGATTTAAATCAAAAAAATCCGATTTAAATAAAAAAAAATCAGATTTTTTTTATTTTTTTTTTTAAAAATCATTGATTTTTATACACCCTGATTTCCACTGCTCTTGACTTAAAATAGAAAAAACATACCCTGTAAAAGAAGATTGCTTATCTATCCTACCTCCTGGTAGAGTCTTCAACTTCAAACTTTCAGGTGTGTCAAATGCGTGGGACTCCCTCACAAGATGTGGTTCCATCTGAAAACCACTACATCACTACAAGACACAGTAGCGAAGTTAGGTCTTGGGGTGGATACACAGTGCACAGCAAAAGAGCAGGTATCCGATGTACACTGTTTTAAATCTGAGATTTCTGCCAGTGCCTTTGCTCTACAGGACAGCAAAGATAAGTAAGTAACTGGGTAAGCATAGACAGTCTTCTTTTATGGAGTGTTTTTTTTAAACTTTATTAAAATGGTTGTAAACCTCAGACATGAAATATGAACAAAGTATATCCTTCTATAGTAAGTGCTTGTCTCAATCCAGAGCACTAAGTGTAATTTCTGCCTGCTGCCTCATCACTCTGCTATCAGCATGAATCCCTTCAGACAAGTTTTCCTGACACCAAGAAAAAAATTGTGACGGGGAGGGACCTCCAGCAGATTGACAGTTTCAGCTCTATTCCTGTGTGCTGTGTGGAAGGGTGTGCATCTGTTATGAAAACGCCTGTAGAGAGTGGAAATCAATCACCGAGAACATCAGGCTAAGCACTGTTCACAGTTCTTAAGAGGTTGAATTGTCAGGTGATCACTGTCAGAGTCACTAGCCAAGGTTGATACAAGAGAAGAGTTTCGTAGTCGGGGTCACAAGCCAAGGTCGATGCAAGAGAAGAGTTTTTATGGTTGGGGGGGGGGGGGGTCACATGCCTAGGTCAATTTCAAGTAGTAATAGTGGTAGCTTGAGGCTGCGGATAGAAATACTGAGAGGATCACAATAATCTGGCAACAAGAAGTGCATGGCTTAAATCAGGACGTGTATAGGAGGAGCAAAGAGTCAAGGTTCAAGACAAAACAAGGTTCAAGACAGTATCATCCAAGGATTTGTTCATGGAGCGCTCCAGCATTCCTGGTGGCACAACAAGAAGAGACACTGCCTGACACAGCAGAGGTCCTGGGTTCAATCCAGTTCCTGACAGTATTTTCCCTCAAATCAGCTGTCAGAACTCTCCTGACTGAGTTCTGCAGAGTGTAATTTCAGCTCTCCAACCACTTTTTCTGAACTCTCAAACAAACTTTATAAATTTAGCATTTTGAACAGATGTGGAGAAAAAAAAGACTGCAGATAAACAGGTACAACTTGTTTTATCTCTGTGTATCACCTTAAGCCAGTCACTTCACTGGGTTTATGTAAGGGTTTACAACAACTTTCTTTAAATCAGTGACAGGATTGCTTTAATAAATACATAGGCTCAAGCTATAGGTTACATTGGAGCCAAGCATATTAAGGTTTCTAAGTAGCAAGGGGAAGAATAATTCATAAGAAACTAAAGTGATTTTAAAGGCTTAAATTTATTTTAATAACAATCAAGTCTATACTTACCTGCTATGTGCAGTGGTTTTGCACAGAACAGCACGGATCCTCCTCTTCTGAGGAATGCATGAAGGTAAAAAACCTTGAGCCTTTACAACCACTTTAAGTTCCTAAATTTACATCCTTGTATTTAACAAATAATATCATAGAACCTTATGTGTAGTGATAACCCCCAGAGGTGGCACTGGAGATAAACTGGTTCTCCCTTACCTGTTCAGAAGCTGTTGGTCCTTTTTTGAGTCCCAGAAGTACACTGACAAATTCAGGCTCAGTCAAGAGGGTCTTTTTTATGATTTATCTTGGGTCTTGAACAAAATGCTTGAAGGATGGTAGAGGGTACAGGATACCCAAAGGCACTCATGAATCTTGGAAACTTCCTGAAAATCCTTGTTCCAGCAGTATTGGGCCTATGGCAGCAGCCTCAAAAATAGTGCTGAAGAAAGAGGGGACATCCAATATATCTGAGACCTATGAGAGCAGTCACAGTTCACATCTCACCCTCAAGAAATACTTCCACACCCAGAGCTTCAGGTGAAAGGCACCACCTCTCCAAATGAGCTTCCACAGTCAAGTTTCCTTCAAGCAAGACTTCTTTAAAGCAGTTGTAAAGACCTATGCATATATGTACACTATATTGACAAAAGTATTGGGACACCCCTCCAAATCATTGGATTCGGGTGTTCCAATCATCTCCATGGCCACAGGTGTATGAAATCAAGCACCTAGGCAAGCAGACTGCTTCTACAAACATTTGTGAAAGAATGGGTCTCTCTCAGGAGCTCAGTGGATTCAAGCGTTGTACCATGATAGATTGCCACCTGTGCAATAGGTCCATCGGTGAAATTTTCTTGCTACTAAATATTCCACGGTCAACTGTTAGTTGTATTATAACAAAGTGGAATCAACTGGAAAACAACATCAACTCAGCCACGAAGTGGTAAGCCACGTAAAATGACAGAGTGGGGTCAATGCATGCTGAAGCGCACAGTGCACAGAAGTCACCAACTGTCTGCAGTGTCAATAGTTAAAGACCTCCAAACTTTGTGTGGCCTTTAGATTAGCATAACAACAGTGTGTAGAGAGCTTCATGGAATGGGTTTCCATTGCCGAACGCTGCATCCAAGCCTTACATCACCAAGTGCAATGCAGAGCTTCAGATGCAGTGGTGTAAAGCACGTCGCCACTGGACTCTAGGGCAGTGGAGACATGTTCTCTGGAGTGATGAATCACGCTTCTCTGTCTGGCAATCTGATGGATGTGTCTAGGTTTAGCGGTTCCCAGGAGAATGTTGCTTGCCTGACTGTATTGTGCCAAGTGTAAAGTTTGGTGTAGGGGGGATTATGGTGTGGGGTTGTTCTTCAGGTGTTGGGCTTGGCCCCTTAGTTCCAGTGAAGGGAACCAGCACACCAAAGACATTTTGGACAATTTCATGCTCCCAACTTTGTGGGAAAAGTTTGGGGATGGCCCCTTCCTGTTCCAACATGACTGCGCACCACTGCACAAAGCAAGGTCCATAAAACCATGGGTGAGTGAGTTTGGGGTGGAGGAACTTGACTGGCCTGCACAGAGTCCTGACCTCAATCCCATAGAACACCTTTGGGATGAATTAGAGCAGAGACTGCAAGCCAGGCCTTGTCATCCGACATCAGTGCCTGACCTCACAAATGCGCTTCTGGAAGAATGGTCCCAAACATTCCCATAGACACACTCCTAAACCTTGTGGATAGCCTTCCCAGAAGAGTTGAAGCTGACATAGCTGCAAAGGGTGGGCCAAATCAATATTGAACCCAATGAACTAAGACTGGGACGCCACTAAATTTCATGTGCGTGTAAAGGCAGGCATCCCAATACTTTTGGCAATATAGCGTACATATACAGTTGTGTTCAAAATAATAGCAGTCAGACATCACCATCCTGATCAATCACTGTTTCTGGTAGAAATTATATTTCTACATGGCAAATAATTTACTAGCAGGTGTAGTAGAGTAATAGAAATCCAACAGACCCAACAGTCATGACATGCATGCTGCTGATTCTGTGTAATTGAATCACTAATTGAAAGGGACATGTTCAAAATAATAGCAGTGTGGAGTTCTATTAGTGAGCTTATTCATTCTTTGAAAAACAGGTGGAAATTATTGCCCTTATTTAAGGAAGGAAGGCAGCAAATGTTGTACATGCTGGTTACAGTGCATTTCTCTCTGAAATTCTGAGGAAAATGGGTCGTTCCAGACATTGTTCAGAAGAACAGCGTACATTGATTAAAAAGTTGATTGGAGAGGGGAAAACATATAAAGAAGTGCAGAAAATGATAGGCTGCTCAGCTAAAATGATCGCAAATGCTTTAAAATGGCAACCTAAACCTGAAAGACGTGGAAGAAAGCGAAAAACTACCATTCGAATGGATAGAAGAATAGCCAAAATGGCAAGGACTCAGCCAACAATCAGCTCCAGGAAGATCAAAGAAGGTCTAAAGTTACCTGTGAGTACTGTTACAATTAGAAGACGCCTATGTGAAGCCAAGCTATCTGCAAGAAGCCCCCGCAAAGTCCCACTGTTGAAAAAAAGACATGTGCTGAAGAGGTTACAATTTGCCAAAGAGCACATTGACTGGCCTAAAGAGAAATGACGCAACATTTTGTGGTCTGATGAAAGTAAGATTGTTCTTTTTGGGTCTAGTGGCCGGAGACAGTTTGTCAGATGACCCCCAAACACTGAATTCAAGCCACAGTACACTGTGAAGACAGTGAAGCATGGTTGCGCAAGCATCATGATATGGGGATGTTTCTCATACTACCGTGTTGGGCCTATTTATCGCATACCAGGGATCATGGATCAGTTTGAATACATCAAAATACTTGAAGAGGTCATGCTGCCTTATGCTGAAGAGGAAATGCCCTTGAAATGGGTGTTCCAACAAGACAACGACCCCAAACACACCAGTAAACGTGCAACATCTTGGTTCCAGACCAACAAGATTGACGTTATGGAGTGGCCAGCCCAATACCCGGATCTTAATCCAATAGAAAACTTGTGGGGTGACATCAAAAATGCAGTTTCTGAGGCAAAACCAAGAAATAGAGAAGAACTGTGGAATGTAGTCCAATCATCCTGGGCTGGAATACCTGTTTACAGGTGCCAGAAGTTGGTGGACTCCATGCAACACAGATGTACAGCAGTTCTCAGAAACAGTGCTTATACAACTAAATATTAATGAAGTGATTCAAAGGAAAGCAAAATCTTCAAACATTTTTCAGTTTATATAGTGAATGTTTGAGTTTGTAAAGAAGAATACAAACACTGCTTTTTTTGTCTAATATTCACTTTTCTTCAATTTGTTTAGAGGAACAACACAAATTTGATATATTTTTCTTCATGTTTTGATTTGGAATAGAATGTGTAGTGTTCCCAATGCATTTGTGTGTATGGAAATAAAAGTTAGAAGGATTTTGAGCTTTATTCACTTTTTTTCAATACACTGCTATTATTTTGAACACAACTGTATATATATATATATATTTTACATGTTATACTTACCTGCTCTGTGGTGCAGCCCTGAACCTCCTTTTCTTGAGTCTCCAGCCGGCTTCTTCTCTGTGCGCTCCCATACGAAGCTGCTTCCTATGCTGGTACACCTGTGGGCTCGCTCCCAAGCCGGACTGTGTGCTTCTATTGACAGACACAGCATGGCTTTGCCCTGCCCTCATTAACTCCTCACAGAATTTGATTAACAGCAGCAAGACCCATTGGCTACCCCCGCTGTATCTGAGCCTGTGAGAAGGGAGACAGTGAACCAGCACTGCTGTAGTCAGCACAATGCTGGAACGGTACAGAGCTACGGGTACGTATTTAGGGAGGGGAGTTGGGGGAACAACTAGTGGAAGGTTTTTTATGCCTTAATGCAAGTAATGCATTAAGGTAAAAAAAAACCTTCTGGCTTTAGAACCACTTTCAGGCCCACAGCCCATAGCACACGATGATGCCCAGTAGCAGTAGTGCTCTGGAACTCACTCACACAAAATCTCCTCCCAGGGGAGAAGGCCCAGGGGAAGAGAGACACTGTTCAGATCCTCACAAATATTTATCTTCTTCCCAGCCACACCTTCTGGGTTAACCTCCCAGGGGTTGGCTAGCGTCAGATAATTATTCATAACCAAATGACTGATCCTCTCATTCTATTTCAGAAAACAGTGTTCATAGGGCGCTTTGCATAGATATGACCTTCAGGAGAAAAGTATCTTGGGCTATATAAAACGAGGCTATTATTATTTTCTTGTACTATTTCTCTTTTAATACTTCTGTATTTAAATTTTTAAATTTTATTTATTTTTATAATTATTTTTATTTTATTTGTCAGCTTTCATTTGTCAGCTAAATTTCATTAATTTAGTATATCATAATTTTATTATTACATATATGTTTTCATGCAATATGTATAGCAATTGTATGTACAGTAATATGTATCATTCTAATGTCAATGTATTTTTGACCCCTATCTGTAATGCCAAAATCATTCCCGAGGTGTTGCTGTGACAATTTATTTGATGTCCATTCAGCCTAACTTCTTCACTCTGAGTGGTCGTCTTTTCCATCATTCCATTTCCCATTTTCCCTCCCCTACTTGTTATAAGTAGCGGCTCCTGTGACGGGGGTTTACGGTCTGAAGAAGAAGTGTCCACACATGCTCAAAAACGCGTTACCGCCCCCTTGACGTCACGTCTGGCATGTGCGTTCGGCAGCCATCTTGCCTGTGCGTTCCACCACATTCACTACTGCTGGTCGGCTTAGCGTGCTCCCTTGGCATTATACTTGATGAGCTTTCACCTTGCTGCTATCTTGTAAGTGTTTTTAATCATTTATCATTGAATAAATCGTTACATACTGCACTTAGAAGCGCCTTCCTTGCTGTTTGTCATTCTATTTCTGGAATCAGACCTGAAAAATGAATTGGTACTTAGCTATCTACAACAGAGTTATATACTAAATTTAGCCAGCCTGTGGCAGGGCGCTACATACGTGTATCACATCACAAAGATAAATTCTCTTTTTAAGGGGCATTCACAATTGCAAACTTACCCAGTCTGTGATCAGCTGTGAGAACCCCAGGTTACAGACAAAAACAGAGCTAAATGGAATTTTGCTTGAAGGGGTGACTTCATCTTCAATAACGTTTATTATAAATAGAAATTTTAAATCATGGTTATTATTTTTGATCATTAGTAATTTAGCATTACATAGATTGGCGACAGATTAGCACATTAAATGTGAGCAACATATGAAAAATAAAAAAATTGCAATCCTTATATGGGCTTATTTGTAATATTTAAAACGGGTTTTAATTATGGCTGGGGAAGCAATGCACTCCATTAAGGACTGTGTGACAGCTGTTCATGCATTGTATCTGTAGAAGGCTTAGTGATGCCTAATCTGCATACAGAATGAGATAAGTCACAGAACACTTTTTGAAGTGAAAATGGAAAGGACTACTGTCAATCACCACTGAGATTTAGGCAGGGAAATGTCGGAAAGTTTCATAAAATCCTGCAATGTACAAAAAACAAATCAGTTTAAAATGTGAGGAATCTGTCTTCTTCAATTTGCAAAAAAAATTACAAAATTAAAAGGCTAAGACTGACCCTACACAAAGAACTGGATTTCAATTCCCAGCACTAAACCAGTTTTCTGTTT